TGTGTTTGTGTACAGGTAGAGGCCTTGCGACGAGCTGATCACTCGCCCAAGGAGTCCTACCGAACGTGTAAGATCTAGAAAAACCGAAGTGAACGGAGAAGTGCATGGAGGTAGGACTAGGCCCACTGGGGCTGTAGTGCCAAGGGGGAAAAAAATTAAAGCGCACGTTATAACGTAGTTAGTTGAGGCACTATGCTACAAGCCGGAAGGTGGCGGGTTCAATTCCAGATGAGGCCATTGGATTTATATTTTGATGTAATCGTTCTAGCTGCACAATGGCTCTGCTGTCGACTCACCCTCTAACAAAAATGAGCACGAGGGTATTTGGGAAAATAAATATTTTACCAATATTTAAAATTTTAAAGCATTTTGCACGAAAATGCCGGGACACCGCAATCGATATAGTGACTGGCTACTGGCTGGACGATCGAGGAGTAGGAGTTCAAGTCCCGGTGAGGTCCAGACCGGCTCTGAGGCCCACCCAGCCTCCTATCCAATGGGTACCGGGGTCTCTTTCCCGGGGTTAAAGGGGCAGGGACGTAAAGCTGACCACTCACCTCCAACTAGTGCCGAGGTCAAGAAAACGTGGATCTATACATGAACTCCCCCATTCGCCTTCATGGCTTGGTGCTTAATTAGTTAAATAGAGAGACAACTTGGGAACAAATGGATCAACGGAGCTAAAACCATTTTAGTTACATGCTCTGCCTCATATATTTCGGTTATCCACCCTCTTCCAAAATGAGCCAATTCAGAATAATCGCAATATATTTAAGTCAGTAATTTATATAGGAACCATACATCATGTGGCAGAAACATTTGGACCAGCATGAACGTTACTTCACACTGAAGTCTCCATGATATGACGATCCTAGCGCTCGGACGTATAGCGAACTAACAGCCGATACGTTTCCTAAATCCGCACTGCACGGGTCGAGAATAATATTGTCTTCACAGCTGATGTTGGTTACACGCCACAGATCAGTAAAACATCTACATTTCTCGGACATTCACGTGTAATATTTTATATACAGAGTCCGCATTATTACACCCACAAACTTGAAACTTCAATTTAACTCTCTTCGACACATAGATTCATCAATTCTTAGGTTACCAGAAGTTCCATACTGTTAAAATAAAGTGGTTGATGATAACGAATACGTTTGCTAATACGAGCAAAAGTGACATTTCAGCTCTGATCTTGGAACTGCTAAATTTATTCCTCATTTTAGTAGAAAATGTAGAGCCGCTGTATTTGTCAGTATAGCACTTAGATCATAGATTGGACGACAGGAGTCGCAATTCGAGTTCCAACAAGAGCAAGAGATGTTTCTGCTCTCCACAGCGTCCAGAGCTTACGTGGGGCTGAACTATTCCCACACTAAAAGGGGACAAAGCATATCTACAAACAAAACAAACTCTGTGATTTTATTCCGCAAGAGAACTATACCGACCGAGCGACCGCCGCTTGTCGGCGAAGTTAGTGCCAACTTTAGCGGATAGAGGGCGTCGCGTGGTCAGCGCAACGAATCCCTACGGCCACTAATCTCAGTTTTCTAGACCGAAGCCGCTATTTCCTTGAAATAGCTCCTTAATTATCCAAACGAGGTTGAGTGGACCCCGTTTCAGATCCACTACTTCTCAGGAAATCTAGTAGCCCCGAGAATCGAACCCGGGAACTCTATATTTCTAACCAGGAACATTGACAATTAGACAACAGAGGCGGCTCAATGGATCTATCTTCGGACTTGTAAAGGCCAGACAGTGACCATGGATAGTCATATTTTTTTTTATTTGTTTCATTCTGGTCCGTCACACTAACAATTACAGAGGCAAAACTAATACCGTCTAATGTGACTAATTAAGTTTTATCACTTGAGGATTTATCTCCCTTACATGTTTCGATCCTTACGGATCATCCTCAGAGGGTATCAATACTTTCGGAAACTACTATTACAATAGATGTTAATTGTATGGATACACATATGATGTCTAAAATGCACAATATACGCAATGTTCAACCTTCCACATTCACAGCGGCCTTCTTGGTGTTAAAACTTTTTAAAAATGTTTGTTTTAAAAATTTTCAAGATCAAGCTTAAAATTTATGAACCATACAGGTTCGCGTCAATTCTCCTATTGTTATTCGTAGAGGTGGCTGGTCCTGTGCCGCCTGTTTATCTTGCGAAAGGAGATCCTTAGTATTTCCGTGTTTATGCGTGGCCTGCTGTGTTGTTTACAAATATTCATGCGTGTAGATGGTTTAGGTTAAGTTCTAACAGACATTTAAATTTAAAGATGTGGCAGTTGGGTACATTCACAAATTTTATTCCTGAAGCCCTCTTTGTTTATTTAATTCTCGTGGTGCAATATAAATCAATCGAGACAACAACTTATGAAACGAGCTTAACTCACTTCGCAAAATGCTAGTTTTATTAAACAATTTAAAAAACACCATTACTGAAGCAGCAGTTACTTACAGAAATGCTTCGAGAAGCGTTAAATTGCATGAAACCATTATTTATGCGATAAACATTACTGAGAAGCACAATTAATTAATATCAATATCTTTTATATATATATGATATTTTTTAAACTTCTATGTTTGGCAATAAGATCCAGCAATCTTTCTACTGAAAGTGAATATAGGTTTTTATTTCCGCTTGGAGAATTCGATGTCAAGAAATATAATTTATTAACACGTCTATATATAAATATCTGTTAATCAAATTATTTTAAAAGTGCCGATGATTAATTCATCGATAAGTGCAATGCCAAATGAAATATACTAGTGTATTTCAAGTCAAAGAGGATGATATTGACAAGACATGTAGCACAAATGGGGGAGAAGAGAAAGGCATAAAGGATATTGATGGGAAAGCGAAAAAAGAAAACCAGTGGGAAGACAAAGACGTAAGTGGGTGGACAATATTAAAATGGATCCTAGAGAGATACAATAAGATGCTGTGGATTGGGTTGATCTTACTCAGGATGGCGACAAGTGCAGTGCTCTTGTGAAAACGGTAATGAACTTTCGGGTTCTATGAAATGCTGGGAAGTTTTTGAGTACCTGCACAATTGACAGTTTCGCAAAAAGGGCTCAGCTCTATGAGTGGGTGTATTTTCTTTGTGTGAAGAATATTCTAAATTATGTGGCACCCTTAATTATGTGTAATACAGGGTGTTTCTTTTAAAGCTGAAGATAATTTTAATTCAAATACATTGTAATGGTAAATATATTTATATATTGTATAATTTGTATAATTAGAAAAATACATAAAGCTTCCCATCCAGGAAGCTATGGAATGACACAGAAATGAAGTAGAAAATTTTTATTTGGAGAAAGGTAATGAAGGATTTGCGTGAACAGAAAGTTTCAGACGTTGCAGAATGCATGCCGTTTTCAAATATATCTAAACAGCGACTTTTAAGCTTATGTCACGGAATCTCTGCTCTAATTACATAACTTAATTACTTACTTACTCATGGAGCTGAGCTCTTCTGGAGGAACCGTCAATTCTGAAGCTACTCAAGAATTTCCCAGCATTTTATGGAATCCGAAGGTTCATTGACGTGTTCACAAGAGCCCTTCACTGGTCCCTATCCTGAGCCAAATCAATCCAATCCATACCATCCCATCCTATCTCTCTAAGATCCATTTAAATTTTGTCCACCCACCCACGCCTTGGTCTTCCCAGTGGTGTCTTTCTTTCTGGCTTTCCCATCAATAATAATTACATATAAGCTCAGTAAAATTTAATGTCATGAGTAAAATCTTAAAAATCCGAAGTGCGACGTCAATTGTTGATATCGAATTGAGTTACTACTCCGAATAGGACTTCAATCTTCATCGAATTCTCCTTCACAGAAATATTTATAGTGAAGTGAAATACTGCAAATGCACATGTAATCCATTTCATGCTTGTAAGTATGAGAGAAGTATTGGCTGACTTTATAGTGCACTTCTGTGCTGAGTTGGAACAAGTCCCAACTGTTCAAATAGCTTTCGATTTCAATTAATGTATGTCTTCTTAACTTAATACACTTAGCTTAATTGTGTGTTATATTTTTAGCTTCTTTTAACGAATGCAAAAAAGTGCAGGGAAATATGACAATCAGATCGAAATGACACAAAGTAACAGGGGAAGTGAGATTAAAAATGAGTGCCGGACGTGTAAAAATTAGTGTCATTCGCATGCGAACAACTATCCATGGACTTCAACATGCTCAACACAAAGAAACAAGGACACAGAAACACAGAGAAACTATTTCTAACAACTATAAAAGTATTGGGGTTTCTGAGTTAGTATGAATTCATGTTATTTACACTGGTACCTTTACCATAAAAAACGAAAGGGATATAATTATTCCCTAAAATCGAGAAATATGAACCCCCCTAAAAAGTACCCATACTGAATTCAGTGTCTAGTTTTAGTGGTATTGCTGCCAAAAATATTGTTCCTAGCACAAGAATAAAAATCGAATTCATCGATCAGGTATATAAAAGTAATGAATGTCGTTATTAAGAAAATATATATATGCACGCACACACACACACACACAAAACATACTTAAAATTAAACAATAACACATGAGACTACTTAATATATCAGAGAAAAACTATATATTATTTTTCGTAAATAAGAATATACAATATTTTGAAGAATGCCTTCGTCTGGAATGTGACGCCGTGTAGAACTTGTGCGAACAGACGTTTCGGAGGAACGTATCACCTCCATATTCAGGGTAGAAAAATCCGCGAACGAGGAACCATCGTGAGTAAGTGGCTGCAGACTAAGCCACCAGTCGAAATAATGTTTTCGGCTGGTGGCTCAGTCTGCAGCCACCTGCTTACGAAGGTTCACCGCGGTGAAAACCTCAAATCTTACAAGAAAATGTTTTGACTTAGTGACTGTACTTTGTATGAAATTATGGGCGAAGGTAGAAACTGATTTATATGTCTGGTCAGTCAATCTATCTGATCGTGGCCAGTAACTTACCTACGCAAGGATTGTGGTTCACCATGCTGAAGATTCTATCACATCTTCGTTTCATGTGGTTGTTTGGACAAATGCAACCGAACATAGGCGACAACCTGAGTTTGGCCCAGGCTTCATGACACAGCTCCCTGTAAAGAGAAATAAACAGGTAAACAGATTTATCTAAGATTTTGAAAGCAGGGCAAATTCTCTGTGTGCGAATATTTATGCTGTTAAGCTGGTGGAAGGTTGCATATAAAAAAGAACGTAAAGATTTTCAAAACCAGAGATTTTACGAGGCACGTAAGGCTCCAATTTAGATTATATCGTTTGTGGTGAGTGGAACTGTTCTTTGTGGTAGCTATAGTAATACATCATTATCAGTTCCCTTTTTATGTTCGCTCTCGGAAAGTTAAGAATAGGTGTGGGGGAACCTATAATACTCAAAAACCAAGCACACCCACTTTATAAGATATTGTAGTGTTCCTAGAAACTAAATTCTCTTTGTGGTAAATGAGAATACTGGAACGTGTCTTATAAAAAGAAATGTTTGATCACAGCAAAGCACAAATAAATACATCTGAAATTTTATTGCAACGATTTATCAGCTGTTTTTTGATGTTCCGACATCCAAAAACCTACTGCCGTGGTGTTTATGGAGATGGTAAATGGTGACAAAGCGATTTCTGCGGTACTGTATTTTGTTCAGTAGTAAAATGCAACGTCCCACACTTACCGTCGCGATGGGCTGTAACTTTCATTACACTTTTCGCCTCTATCCAGTTAGTACTTTTTCTGTATTAGTTCGAATTCTTTCCCCTAAGGGCGCTGTGTATACTGAATTACTTATAAGGAGACCAATTGTCCTGCTAGCCGGACTTAAGCTGATAATGTTATTTGTAGGGACATCATGTATTTGGATCCAAAACTGTTTCTATCATTCATATTGTCACGATTTAGGGGTGTAACTATAGACGGGGTTTCGATTTGTGAATGGATTTACTGACCGCTTATACACACACGACTCACGAATACATTTTACAGATTGCCGACATACAAACTAGTGTCCTCAGTCTATTACGGCTGCCACTAACCGTTTCCTGGAAACGAAACCTAACAATGAAACTCTTCAGCTTCTATGTTCATGTTGTTACCTTATGGCTAATACTTCATAACTGAACTGTCAACTTAATTACATCGCTCTCTCTTCTTAGCCTCCCTTGCAGAACTGGACTGAATTGACTGGGTCGCCACAACAGTCTTCCTTGTAACCCTGTTGCACGGACCGAGTAGAAAACACTATTTCCAACAGTAACTCTGTTTTTGTAGAGGTGTGTTTGTCGCACCGTTGCACAACAACGGCTGTCGTCTCGTTTCTTTCGAGGTGTGTCCAGCAACCGGTCTATACGCCACAGTATTTTATAGTGATATTTTCTTAATTATTTCTTCCAAAGTGAAATAATTAAGAAAGTAAAGTAAAAGTAAAGTAAAGCTATCCCTGTAACAGGCCGTGAAGGCCCATAGGGTTGTGAGACGTTGAGGGTCCCACATTATCTAGACAATCGGCTCAGAGATGGCGGCAAGGTTGTCATCCTTACGCGCCGGCCGCGCTTCACTCCCCAGGAAAATTATTTAATTAATTCCTGGTGCTCATTTCTGTTAGAGGCTGAGTCTACCCCAAGGCCGTAGTGCGGCTGGAAGGATTAGGTCAACTGAAAAAATCCAGTGACCTCATCGGGAATTGAACCCGCGACCTTCCGGCTTGTAGAAAGTACCATATAAAATATTGTGGTGAACCGGGATACCTCAGTCGGTATAGCGACTGGCTATGGACTGGATGACCGAGAGGTTGGAGTTCGAGTACCGGTAGGGACAAGAATTTTCTCTTCTCCACATTGTTCAGACCGGGTCTGGGGCCAACACAGCTTCCTATCCAAAGGGTAACCGGGGATCTTCCCGGGGGGGGGGGAAAAGCGACAGGGAGTAGAGCTGACCATTCACCTTCAACTAGTGTCAATGTCAAGAACAGGTGGATCTATACAACCAGTCCCCCATACGCCTTAATCGCCTTATGGACAACTTTACCTTTCCTTACTTAATTATTAAAGTATTAATTATGATATTATGAATATAGATACATATTTTATTTATCTCGCCTATATTATATTTGGCGTGATTGCAATTATTGCATTTTCGTTAATTTTTAAATGATACATGTTCGGGATTACTGGCTTTCTGAACTTTGTGCACAGTTCGGTATTCTAAACAACACAACGTTTCGGGGTCTGGATCTGTTTCCGTCCTCAGGAGACACCTACACTTTTGGGTCCGTTAGAAAGAGCTAACCTCAACCACCGGGCTGGATTCAATTGTTTCAGGGGACGATCACGTGACGGGATCTATTGGCTACAATAGCGAAGTTGCTGGTTCCATAAAAGCGGCGAATTTCATGAATAGCTACGGTACTATTAGCTTTTCAATAAAATCTCACTTCATGGATTTCATCTGAATAGTTGGAACAGATTAAAAGAACTTTCTTCTTCCTCTTCTTCTACCTTTACGTTGTCGATGTAAATAAATTTTATTTTCTTTTAAACTAAGACAGTCGGTAGGACTTCTTGGACGGGGGATCGGCCCGTCGCAAAGCCACTACCTAACACAAACAGAATAAACATAAACACAAACAAACATCCATGCCTTACGTGTGATTCGAACTCAGGATCCCAGAGTCCGCGTGAACGAAAAACAGTTCATGCCTTAGACAGCGCGGCCACTGCAATCGGCTAAAAAAACTACTATTAGATAAAATTTTATATGTGTGCATAATTAATTAAGCACCAAGCCATGAAGACGTATGGGGAAGTGTAGGTATAACTCCATCATTCATAATTTCTGTATTATCTGTAGGCGAGTGGTAAGCTTCACCCTCGTTCCTTAACCCTGGGAAAGAGAGTTGTGTCTCTGCCGAAGATTGAACCTAGATTCCTCGGCCACCTACCCATCCACTCCCCCAAAAAACTTCATGACATAATGTTAGATTAATTAATTACACTGACTTTACTTACTCTGGTATCAGATTAATGTATGTCATATGTATTTTGTGTCCGAATTTCGGTCCTGAGTTTCTCCCAATGAGTTCAGTAGAGGTAACTCGTTTAGTCTGCCTCCGAACAGTGTGACACGAGAGAAACAAATTTCTGCACAGGCTATTGCCTCCCCTCTGCGCCACATCAAGTACCACTCAACAGAAAGAGTGGTTGTTACAGTACAGTAGCCTCACAGTGCTAGCCCATAATTCTCCCTCCTGTGTTTTATGAGGCAGAAATGAGAGAATCCCTGTACCAGCTACTCACTAAAGGTATGCATATAAGAAGGCCCTCCACACATACCAAAGCCTACTCGAATAATTCACGCCTTTACATCGGCATGAAGGAAGTTCACCCGTTCGTCAGCTCTGATCATGTGTTACGGGAGTAAATGGCTTATCCTGTAAGAAATGTGCAATATTTATTAATTCTTTTTTGTTATTTCTATATAAACAGACCGCCTCTGTAGCCTAGATGTCAGAGTTCCTTGTTACAGATCCAAAGGTCCGGGTTGGATTCCCGGCGCTACCACATTTTCTGAGAAGTATTGGGTCCGGAACGGGGTCCACTCAGCATCGTGAGGATAACTGAGGAGCCATTTCAAGGAAATAACGGCAGTGGGGATCCGTTGCGCTGACCACGCGACACCCTCTATCCGCTAAAGTTTGCACTAACTTCGCCGACAAGCGTCGGTCGCTCGGTCGGTATAGTTCGCTTGCGGACTAAAACCACGGAGTTTTTTTATTTCCATGTAAACGCCGATCACAGTGGCTGCGCTGCCTGAGGCATGAACTGCCTTCGCTCGAACGCTGGGAAAGTGGGTTCCAATCCCAGTGAAGGCATGGATTTCTGTGTGTGCGATTATTCTGTGTTTGTATTGTCCTGTGTGTAGGTAGCGGCCTTGCGAAGGGCTGATTACTCGTGCAAGGAGTCCTACCGTCTGTGTTAAAAAGATTAAGGAACTGAGGAAGAGGCTAGGGCACAAGAAAAGGCTGTAGAGCCACTGATGAATGCATGAATTTCCATGTAAACATGATCCTGTCATACTAAAAGTTATGAATACTGAACACATAAACATGAAGTGTTCCTGCTCCTATTGTTAGGGTGAGTTATCTTCCTTAACTGCTTCCGTTTATTCATATGTTTGACTGACTAACCACCAATTCATCTCCCCATCCATCACGCTCTGCAGTATGGGTGCTCTCAAATAGCTGTATTTATTAAGTTGCTGAAGAAATCCTATATTTTTTACGTTATCTGAAAGCTAATAACCATTTGCACAAAAACTGGCCAACCAGTCAATGTCTTTAACCTTTTCAGTTCAATCCTTCGTCCAAATAATACAACCGCATATTCTTGTACTCAAAATAAAGAGAATAGAATAAAATATAAAATGAAAATAAAATAATAATGTAACAACCTCCAAACTGCATCCCTGAATATGCAAATAAAAATCACTAAATTGAAGACCGTTAAGAGTACTCTGCTACATGGCTGAAAGAATTCTTCTGTCAAGACACGTAACCAGCAACCTGGGTATTCTGAATCAACTGAAGAGTTCTTCAGAGTTCCGTCCAATTATTAACTACAACAATTGACACTTCTAAGAGACAAATGCATAATTTTACCAACAGAAAGTAAATACACATGTATATATGTTGTTGAAATGAGACATGCAGTGGGTTGAGCTGTCACGATTAGTGAAAATCTTTCATGTCAAACTTGCTCCATGGCTGCTAAAGAGATAATGCCCAGTAATTCCAAGTGATAACTGTCCTTGGGAGGTATATGTGTGTTCTTATCGAGAAGGGAGGAATTAAGTTGCCTGTGAAGGACATTTTCCTTCGTTTCTCTCTCTCTTATTAGTGGAGTAAAGACTCGTAATACTAATCCCACAATTTCATGCATGTCAAGGAAGCACACGATTTTACTGTGAAGAGTATAGGAATGACATTCTGCACAAATCACTGGATACAACGTCACAATCGAAGTAAGTGAACAAGAAAAGCAGACATAACTTCTCTGGCACTTTAGCTTTGCAGACAGTAAGGATCCAAACACAA